AAAAAAACTCTCCCCCTTAAGGCGACCTATGGACAATGCGCCTTTGCACGAAGTATACAAAAATGTAATTAATAAAGACTCGTTTACTATTTTAGCCTCGATGTTAGCTAATGAAAACAATGATTGCAGTAAGCATACTAATTGACWAGTATAAATTGTCATAATTCATAAGGCRTATATAGGTACCTTATATGGTTGGAATTTTATAACATAAAATTGTTTAAGTATATAAGCATGCAATATAATATTACCTCAAATATCGCTAAATATGCACCAAAAATGTGTAATTTTATAAGAAATATGCAAATGTTACAAAATCTCAACCATATTTATAAAAAACATTTACCTTATTTAATCGGAGGACATTTTAAAAATTATTGTCAAACTATAACTTTAGGTAAAACAACAGCTGAAAATCAGAAAATTAAGCTTACAGATAACATTATAAAATCTGTTAACGATGATAACGAAAACATTCAAAAATTAAATAAACCATTAAATTTTGAGAAAACTAATGAAATTAACTCCGAAGAAATTAATGAAAATGCTAAATYTTTAAATGTTACACAAAATGATACAAATAAAATAAAAATTACTTCAAATAAAAATACACGGTCGCTGAAGAAGAAAGTTAAACAACGTAATAAAATTATGTCTATCGATAAAACAAAATAATAAAAATAAATTATTACCTRTTCCAACTAACAAATTATAAAATAAATTATTCTTACCAGTTAACTAACTTTACGTAAAAGTTATATTACATTTATTTTTATATTGTTATTATCCGTAGTATTTTCGATTTTAATTATCATCAAACATGAATTGATTACTATTAGACATTTCATATTATAAAATTATTTGACAATRCYAAAGGATATGTAAATATATTTTTTCACCAAATAAAAATAGATTATGAATCTTGAATTTAATCAAATTAATTGGATTCATTATACAGCATGATTCTTATAATATTAAACACAAACAGCTAGTATTATTGTTTTATTTTATATAATTTTAAAATTATCATAAAATAAAATTTTTGAAAATAATATTTTATGTATAGGTATAGTATTGTTACGCTTTTTTCTCATATTGTCACATTTTAAGTTTTTAACTTTTTTGGATAACAATCAGTGATTAGAAGAAATGCATTAAAATTAACTTGTTTTAATGATTTCGTTTAATTTTTCATGAACTTTTAACAGTAACKTAGTGTTTTAGTGTGGATACTGAATGAATGGAATAGAATTTCATAGAACGGTGTGAATGTATAGATACGAGCTTTAATTGCAATTTGCAATAATAAAACTTAAAGCTAATCTAAATATTTTGAAAATTGTATTGTGTTTAGAAAATAATAATGGTAAAAAAGTTTCAAGTCACTTTGATTTATATTTTTAAATTACAACGAAATAATTAAAATCATTATTTTTCGTTCAATCATTCAATTTTGTCAACACTTAATTAAATGTTTACTCATATATTAGTACCATATACAATATATACCTACTCATAGCTTAAACTAATTAAACAT